CAAACAATGAATCATGGAACACTACATCAAAAACTAATGATGTAATGTATGGTGATTAACATAACATAATAAAAAAGAAAGAAAAGTCATTTGTGGGTGCAGGGGTGTGTTTAACAGTGAGTAGGAATGTCTGCATGTCTGTTCTTCCCACCCACCCTGGGAGAGGTGGAGCCTCAGAGAGGAAGCCAGTATGTTGGGGCTGCCTCCTCCTAGTCCATAGCTTGCCAGGCCTCTATGGGATGCCTCCACCTTGCCTCTCCTGGGATGTGCCCTTACCTGGATGGTGTCCTGAGCCAAGGCTGGCTTGAAGTCTCTGCGCAGATCTTGGATTCTTTCAAAGAAATGGGAGAGTCTCTAGGATAGAGAGGTACAGATCAGAGAGCCCGAATTGTGGGTGGGGAGCTTGGGGAAAATGGGTGGATCAGACGGGCTGCACAGAGGGATTCCTGACTCCTGGTCCCTGCTGAGGCCACTCACCTGGCTCTTGATTCCAGGGGGTGGGGTCCAGGTGGGGAAGGCCATCTCTGCAGGGGATAGAACACCATTCATTAGGTGTGAGAGTGTCTGTGTGTGTCAGGGGCGGGGTCTGGGGTCAGGTCAGACCAAGTACCTTCACAGGTGGCATTGGGCTGCTTATTCTGGAATCCGGGTTTGGGCTCCCAGCCCCGGCGACAGTGGCACTTGTATGAGCCCATGGTGTTGATGCAGACGGTGGACTTGTGGCATGTAGGCTGCCCAGAACTGCACTCATCCACATCTGGGGACACAAAATGGAAGTCAGGACACCTTTCCCCTCCATGTCCTGCCCCCTTTTCCTGTGTTAGTGTCTCCCCTTGGCTGGAGGTGATATCACCTGCTGTCCCCACATCCTGGTGATGCAGGGGTCATGGGAAGTGTGTGGAGCCTGACATGTAGCACGTGAATCCTGTACAGATGTGCAGGTTGTGACTATAGAAATACCTTTGTCCCAGGTAGTAATTAGCTGCTGTCTGGGGTCTCCAAGGAGCCTACTCCTCAGTACCCCAGCTCCTTCCCCAAGACCCCCAGATTTTTTCCCAAACAGCCTCAAAAGAATGAACGTCTGGCACAACAGGGCACTCCCAGGGGTCATTCTGCTTGGGATGTGTGGGTGCCACTGAATATGTGATCAGATGTTCTGAGTGTGGGTCTCCAGGATGTGGCGTCTGAGCTCTGGACCTTCACAGATGGTGTTCTTGGGGCCATTGGGGGACCCAGGAACTGGCTTCCATCCAGGGCAGCAGTGGCACTGATAGCCCCCAATGTTGTTGAGGCAGTAGATGGAGTTGTGGCATGGGTTCTGCCCTGATGTGCATTTATTCACATCTGAGGACAAAGCCAGAAGGTCAAGGTTCCCTCCACTCACTGCACCCATCCTTCCTGCCCCTTCTCTCAGATTCTTTAGTACTTCACACCAAGGAAAGACACACACACACACACACACACACACACACCATGTACCAGCCACCTACCCTGTCAAGATAAACTTTATGATAGCATTTTCTACTGTAAAAACTCCATAATCTCAGATTGTCCCTGCAAGGTGGACAGGGTAGAACCATGTGTGTGAACCATTCCAGACAAAGCTGAGACCCTTCACATATGGTGCAGATTAGACTAGGTGTCAGGTTCAGGGAGGTGGGAGGCTGTGATGGACCTCTAACCAAGGAGGCTGTGACACTGAGCTGCCCTAGAAGCGACACTTTTGCTAGAATATGACAGATGAGTAGGGGCAAGTAGGGGTGTTGCTCATAGAGATCAGGGGCTCCACAAGGACACCCCAGGCACAGAAAGCCCTGCTGACTCCCTGCTCTGTGGAGGGACCTTCTTAGGAGGTAAATCCTTGGGCAGAGCAAACCCCTGGTGTTTTGGGAAACTGAGGGTCTTCTCCCTCCTCGTGGGGCTACGGGATCTGCCTTGCCCCTCCCCAGCTCCAGTGCAGCCTCATAGCATCTGCCAGGGCCTCAACTGTGCACAGATTCGGGTCACCCGGGCTGAGCTCCAAGCCGGGTGGGCACTTGCAGGTGTAGCTACCCTGGGTGTTGGTGCAGATGCCACGGCTTTTACAGATTCGGGGTTTCAGCTGACATTCGTCCACATCTGCAGGGGGATGGAGAGGGTGATGGGTGCCTGCAGCTGTCTCCTGGGATAGAAACATCTGGAAGGCCCCACTGTCTCTTCTCTGGTGAGTGGGTGCCTTTTCTAATTCACATGGAGCATGCTTTGGGCGAGCATGGTGGCCCAGATGTTCTGTTTCCAGATGTTGCTGGAAGTGGTCCAAGTCCTCCCCGTCTGCCAGCCCTGGCTCCCTCGGCCTCTCTGGGCAGCTCCCAGCTGGGACAGTGACATCACGGCCACCTGTGCCCCAGCCTGAGGACTTGCACAAGTCCAGCGTGGGCCTTCCTGGGAACCAAGTGCAGGGGAAATACTGTGTTCCCCAAACAAGACCATCTTGGCTCCCAGTGATGGCTTTTGTCCTAATTTCCCAGGGCAACAGCTTGCTGCCTGAGTTCCCCCTTGGAATCCCAGTGACCCTCGCAGGACAGCATACTCTCAACCACACTATCTCCAAGCCTTGGTGTTTGGAAAAGGACAGGTTATCAGGATGTTCTCTGATGCCTAGACAAAGTGAGCTGAGTGACTCCAAACCTCATGGACGAGGAGATGGAAGACACAAGTCAGTTCTTACCTTGACACGTGTCCTCACTCTCATCCCTGAACACTCTTGCCCCAGAAGCAGGCTCATATCCTGGGCTGCACATGCAGTGGTAGCTCCCCTCTGTGTTCTGGCAATCGGTGAATTTTCCACAGGACACTGCCAAGGGTGGTCCACACTCATTGATGTCTGGAACACAACAGGGCAAAGGATGACCTCTCAAAGGTGTGAGTTCCCATAGGGCAGAGGCCCTGGTCTCCAGCCCTACTCTGCCATAGAGACCGGACAGAACTCAGCTCACAGTTTGCTGGATGAGCTGGAGCCAGCTGCTCTGAACACCTGCTCACTGTTCTGCTCATCTCTGCTCTCTGGCTGGGCCTGAGGGCACCTAGATTCAGACACTCTGCTGTGCCATCGTGGGGGCTGGAAGGAGGTCTGCATCCCCTTCTGCAGGGTGGTGTAGACAGAGGAACTGAGACTCTGTTTGAACTATTGGGGACCGGGGAGTGGGCTCCAGTGAGGGTGACATTGGCACTAAAGGTCACTCTCGAAGCTCAGTCAGTGAAGGGAGTCATGGCTGGATGACACTCACCATTCACACTTGAGATAACACCAAGAGGTCAATCCACTGCCCGTTGATAACTTCCATAGCCCATTATCGATGGCCCTAGTATACCCCACAAGCCTCATCAAACACTCCCCCAGCTCCAGTGTCAGGCATTTTCAAGATGCCCCATTGGGCATCTGGGTGGCTCAGTCAGTTAAGCATCTACTTTTGGCTCAAGTCATGATTCCAGGGTCCTCAGATGCAGCCCCACATCCCACTCTCTGTTCAGCAGGGACTCTGCTTCTCACTCTGCCTCTGCCCCTCCCCCCAACTCGTGTGCTCACTCTCATAAATAAATAAATAAATAAATAAATAAATAAATAAATAAAATCTTAGAAAAAAAAAAAAGATGCCCCAGGATGTCTCTGGAGCAGTCTTGCTACCTCCGATCTGAAGAAGTTCCTCTTATCAGAGCCCATTGCAGATATGAAATGAGGAAGCAGAATGCTGGCTCTCATAGCTGAGCCACTGGGGGTGTTTTCTGACCTCCTATCTCTCCCTGTTCTCTACACATGAGAGGAAAGATTCCCATGAGCCAGGTTCTTTGAGTAGCTCAGGGACACATAGAGCAGGGGCTACACATCACCAGTTAAAAATAACAGTTTAATAAGAACCAGCAAGACAAGAATGCATCAAAATGCAGGGACAGAATGTTTTCTCTTGTACATTCCAATAAGGGAACCAAAAACTTTTAGAGCCTGAAAGGACTCATTGCATCACTCTGAGTCAGGGCAGGCAACTGGTATCCCCCAGAGTAGAGTTTCCTACTTGAACTTGTCGACTTCCCTTAGAAAGCCACAGGCTCAGTATGTGGGTGTGAGCACCAGAACATGACTGGATAAGGGAAGATGCACACCTGACGCATTCTTGTTCACCCCCATCTGGGCTATGGCACTACCCTCCTCACTTCTCAGATGGTGGCAATGCCTAGACACCTGCCTTCAAGGTGGGATGGAGTGGAGTGGGGGACAGGTGGGAATGAGGCATGCAGGAGGAGAATATATGACAATTTGAAATTCCCAACCTCAGTCATGCTTCCTTAAAGCAGCTGGGATCCAGTCACACCATCAGCAGCTCTCCTTGCCATGGTCACCCAGCCACGAGTCTCCATGAGATACACAAGCAAATGCAGGGATCAATTAGGGATACCTCTAAGGCAGAGAGGGGCTGCATGGTAGTCACAACACCACCTTTTACTTTTTCATGATAAAATTTACTTTCCCCCTGGGGAGGGGAGGAAGATGGTGGAGGAATAGGGACCCTAGTTTCATCTGGTCCCTGGAATTCAGCTAGTTAGCTATTAAATCATTCTGAACAATTGCGAACTCAACCAGATATCAAAAAAAAAAAAGAATTGCTACAAGTCTACAAATAGAAAACAGACCACTTTGTGCAAGAATGACAAGACAGAAGAACTCACCCCAAAAAAGAGAACAAAAGGCAGTATTCACTGCCAGGGACTTAATCAATATGGATATAAGTAAGATGTGGGAACTAGAATTTAAAATAATGATTATAAAGACACTAGCTGAGCTTGAAAAAAGCATAGAAGACACTAGAGAAAGGGTTCTGGAGAAATAAAAGAACTAAAATCTAATCAGGTTGAAATAAAAAAGGCTATTAATGAAATGCAATCATTGATGGATGCTCTTACTGCTAGGATAAATGAGGCAGAAGAGAGAGTCAGTGTTATAGAAGATAAAATTATAGAGAATAAAGAGACAGAAAAAGAGAGATAAACAACTACTGGATCACAAGGGGAGGATTCCAGATATCAGTGATGCAATAAAGTGAAACAGTGTTGGAATAATTGGGGTCCCAGAGGAAGAGGAAAGGGGGGAGCAGAAGGTTATTTGAACAAATTATAGCTGAGAACTTCCTTAATCTGGGGAAGGAAACAGGCATTCAAGTCCAGGAGGCAGAGAACCCCCCTCAAAATCAATAAAAATAGGTCAACACCTCAGCATACACTAGTGAAGCTGGCAAATTTCAGATATAAGGAGAAATTCCTGAAAGCAGCTCGGGAAAGAGGTCCTTAACCTACAAGGGTAGAAACCTAAGGCTGGCAGCAGAACTATCAACAGAGACCTGGCAGGTCAGAAAGGATTGGCATGATATATTCAGGGTGCTAAATGAGAAAAATGTGCACCAAGAATGCTTTATCCTGCAAGGCTGTCATTCAGAATAGAAGGAGAGATAAAGAGCTTTCAGGACAAACAGAAACTAAAAGAACTTCTGATCACTAAACCAGCCCTCCAAGAAATATTAAAGAGGATCCTTTAAGTGAAGAGAGAGCCCAAAAGTAACAAAGACCAGAAAGGAACAGAGACAATATACAGAAACAGGGACTTTACAGGTAATAAAATGGCACTAAATTCATATGTTTCAATAATTACTCTGAATGTAAATGGGCTAAAATCCCCAATAAAAAGACACAGGTTATCAGATTGGATAAAAAAGCAAGACTCATCCAAAAGCTGACTACAAGAGACTCATTTTAGACCCAAAGACTCTTCCAGATTGAAGGTTGAGGGGGTGGAAAATACTTATCATGCTAATGGACATCAAAAGAAAGCTGGGGTAGCAATCCTCATATCAGTTAAAAATAGAGCTACCCTATGACCCATAAATTGCACTACTGGGTATTTACCCCAAAGACACAGATGTAGTGAAAATAAGAGCCACATGCACCCCAGTGTTCATAGCAGCAATGTCCACAATAACCAAACTGTGGAAGGAGCCAAGATGCCCTTCAACAGATGAATGGATAAAGAAGATGTGGTCCATATATACAATGGAATATAACTCAGCCATCAGAAAGGATGAATAC